TCTATCCTAAATCACTTATCTCTTGTCAAATGTGTTCATTCACTCTTCTTTTCATTTCTTTATAACACACATTTTCACAAAAATCCCATATCTAAATCAATTAATAGCCTAGTTATATACATCAGAATTCTTTCCGATTCTTGATAGTAGACGTAACGAGACCGAGGCGAGGGTGACATGTACACCTAAATCAGCTTTTGTTCTTCTACTGACCAGTTATTCTGACAGCTGTCTACCATCACCGTAGTCATCTTCACAAACCACTGAACTATCTGACCACGTTCATTGATGGGCTTCATACTATTATTTAATATATCGATATCAGTTTCCCGAGAACTGAAACTATCCACAATAGTCAACCCCTCAAAGTTATCAAAGTCAAATTGTCAACTTTAATTAGGAGTTTAACATTTACAACACCTTCAATGTTTAGTGGTTTAACAGTGTGGTTTGAACATACAGAAATGCTGAGGAGGTGTTGGGGAAACCTTACTGTTTTCGTTAACCTGGCTGTTCGTACAGTACATATACAAAACCACTGTCTGTACAAATAACATATAATTATATCAAATTTTAAAAGTTTTCATTACGAGTACGATAGTTATTTCTCATATTGACGTTAATTGTTTATTTAAATATCGCTTGTAATGCAAGGGAGCTTACTCTGCACGATCTCTTACTATTGAAATGATTCGTGTCAATGTTAAGGAAATCATTTCTGTATAACAAGCTATAAGGTGAAGCTCCTTGTTCTAATTATATATTTTCAATGGTCTCCTATTTTGTTGAATTTGAGTTTGAAAATTCTTCTGTTGGCATATCAGTATTTCCGTTGTTGTTTTTAATGTCTTTTTAACGTATTACATTAAAACACACGATAGTAAATACCGGAAATGGTCCAAGAAATCTTGAGGAAGTTTATATTTTATGATAGAAACTCACCGTAAGGATATTGAAATCATCACTTTTATCACCCAACTATATATAGTGTTGTTCCTGTTGGGTTTGTTGGTGTCGAAGTGTCTTTCGTGACTTTGACTTCTCTGAACACAGTATTGATATGTCTATAAGAAAAATTTTCCGCTAAACTAAACCAAGAGGATTGTCAACCAGAAACATACGCTTCCTTTTAGTTCAAGGTCGCGTAGATGTTTGCCGCTGAGACAACGCTTATCGACAACACGGAGAAGAAAAACATTTAACCAACCATTTTCATTGCATAGAAAACTTTTTAACAAGAGAACGGTTATATGGCTTAAGTTTGGAATGGGATAGAGTACAATGTATTTTTCTGGGATGGAATAGTTTTTTTTAACTGTTTCCTTTTGGGGCCGTGTGTTTAAGTTTGATCGAAATTTCTTTGTGATTTTTAAACTGATTTTGTATGTGAAGTAAACAATGTCATAATAAAGCTGTAATTTAGATTTAATAATTCTAACAGGGGATTTTTTGTTTGGAAAACTAGTCAAACCAGCAATAAAATATCATTGGCGTTGAGAGTTTTGAGGTTTTGATATCCGTTATAACCAAGGGTGGTCCATTACTTGGTCGTTAACAGTGATTACAGCCAGGAATTTTGGTATTAAATTTACCTACATGTTCAGTGCCAAATACTGTTGTCTTGTAAGATATGTTATGCTGCGAATCAAACGACCATTAGCCGTAAAAGGATACATATTCAGAGAATTATAATCATATCTACACTAAACTGTAACAAACATTTCTAACCATCTACCTGATGAAAATTATTCCCGTACAAATCACTCCCGGTAGACAAGGCTCCAATTTAATTTTAGAAATTGTCCGAAATGTCGTTGACATTCATTGATTATGAAACATCAAGGCACCTCCAGACATGAATAAACGTGACTTTGTCGCAGTCGTAAAAATAATGTTATCTAAAAGGAATATAATTACCCTGGATAAATTATCGTCATTGTACAGTTCTGGACGTAAACAAACGATAAAAGGGTTTATAAGTGATTTTTGGTTACCAGAGTCAGTAGGACTACAACACCGGTGTCTTACTTAAACGTCTATAATATGTTGGCGTATGTACTGAATGGTACTTTAAACGACTTTAGACAAGTGGTGGGACCCATAGCATGTGCCTAGAAAAAGTGGAAGACGTTTTCAATTTAAATTGAAATATGAAAACAAAGTTGATTGAAACTAACGCCAAATTATAAATATTGTATGGTATGTTCCATGTAATTCTTGCATTTGTGTATCACAGATGGTACAACGACACCAAACTGCTTATAAGACTGAAGTAAAACACATCTTTAAAATTCATGGCGTAAATTTGATATGTGTATGTGAATTTATCCAACTCCGAAATTTCAACAAAAATCAAAATGTGAAGACACGTATACGAGAAAATAAGAACGGTAACTCTTATGTTCCTCCCGTAACCGAGAACCTCATCTAGATGTGCTAATGACGTACCCCAAAATATCATGTACATCATCAGGCAGAAAATGTTTAAGATAACCGTATTGATTATTTTTCATTGGATTAAGATAAATAGATAGAATGAACACAAATATGAAATAAATAAAAATTTTAAAGGAAAGCAATAGGTCAAAGATCGATAACTCTGCTTTATTTAGAAACTACCGGCTGAAGAAATCGGGTCAGTATGAGAATGAAATTAACAACAGTTAACATGTCGTTGACTCTTAATATAATTTTATCTGTGTGCATTGGTCGCGATATATAATCATCACAGCCTTTATACTGACGAGATTAGACACGACTCTGTATAATCTGTAGCAATCAAGGTCAGTGTTCTGTGTTACACAGGTGTACAAAGCATTGCTGAATGAGCCCCCAGGATACGGCCATTAAATATGCTAATAGATTTTCGATGTATACACCACTTTAATAGAAATCAATTAAATGTGTTAGCAGTATATCGAATTCCTTGTTAGGTTGTACATTCAATGTTGTAAGGTCGGCTAACAGTTTTGTGAACATACTTGCTAAGCTTATAAGTCTTTCCTACTCCGGTAGATAATGTCAATCAGTCCAAAATCTGTTTTACATATTAGACATGTCAGTGTATTTAAAGCAGTAAGCACAAAACTTTGTGTCTGTGGCTCAACTTTGAGCTCCTTTTTCATTACAGGAATTTTCGTTGTCGTGTTTTAGTCCATCAATTTCATACTCATGTCTTGAAAGCACATCGTTTTCCTCTTGTCATCTGCCTAGTAAACGTTGCACCTCTGATATGCCGTTTGGAGTGGGAAATCACCAATATACTTGGAATAGAAATGTCCCGGCAATTGGTACATCGGATATTTGGTCACTGGAGAAAAAACTTGAAAGAATGATGAATATACGTTGTTATTGTCAATTAGAATCAATGAAAACAATTTATTTTTGTTTGAAAGTATTTCTGTTTCATTTTCAGCCAAGAGAATGAACCAGAAAACTAGTTGGTCTATCAATCACGACCTGTTTTGATCGAACTGCTTAACATTTTACCAACTTTCAAAATGAAAAAGTCTGATTATGTAAATCCAATGAGCAAACGTATTCTGCCTAATGTTACCAGGCTATAGACGTATGATGTCACTTGGAACACAATTATTGTGGTATGTTGTGAATGCACTAGAGCAATTTTTAAATATCTTCTTTTTTTAAGCCATAGTCCAGTGTTCAGTAAAGGATCAAACAAATGTTATAGAAATGTATGATATATAAAATGTATAGCGGACAACTCACAAAGTGTAGGCTTGAGTTAGTCGTAAGTCATGGGCCTACCTTCCAACATATATCCTAAAACACAACATGATGTTTGCCTGCAATGCTCTGTAGTGGCATTTATAACGACCATGAATGTCATACCACAACAAGTCAATGTTTGAATATCGCATGGTATGGAAAATATATCTGTTGTATTACGGCCTGTTATCCTATGATTCACCTGTGTAGTATTTATTTTTTGCATATTTCACTAACGTATTAAAAAGTGGAAGTTTTTTTTTTATTAGCTTGTCAGAAATCCATTTCGATATCATGATAAGGACAGTGACGCTTCGTCATGAATTGAAAATGGTGCAATACAACTTGTGTTATTACTCCAGGTTTTGGTTTTAAAATCTATCAACATGTTAGTTTTCTGCGCTATTTGATAAATAGTGTCTTAAATATGTTTTCATCTTATACAAGGATTTATTAAACTCGTATAAAAAATCATTTTTGCTTGCCAAGGCCCGCAAAAATAAAAACTTCAAAAATTCTCCTGAAATGAAAACTCATTTGAGATATTATATATAACGTATATGATAAGATAAAAGCTGCATTTTGGCGCTGGACAGAAAGACAAAAAAATGACTCGCCAGGGGCTCGTCTTTCTTCATCCTCGCCAAAATACAGCTTATATTTTAAGTCACTGACCATGTATTCTCTATATGTTCTATATATTTTAAAATAATTTTCTTAACTACCCTCGAGATACTTCATATTATAAGCTGATTTCAGCTTTCCTGTTGACATGTACCGCACTCAAGACCAGATGTCCATCCCTAATGTGTACAATAATTACCTTTCCGTCCATACAAAGTACAAATAGGACTGTTTGCCCTACCTAAATGTCAATACAAAGGGGCCATGTATGTAATAAGTCGAAATCCCGCCTTATCATTGAAATCAATCTGTAAATCTGAAGATTTACCAGTAAATCCAAACGCGTGTGATGAGATGTACCGTTTAAAGGAGAGTTTTATTTAAATGGTTTGATTACGGTATGGTAATACAGCCGTATAGGGTATGTGGATTATCTTATTGCGACCCCTGTGCCTCAGTCAGTAAGGCTGTTATTATTGAGCGATCAGCCCTGGCGCGTCAGGGTTTGTTTGTCTCAGTTACCGTTATACACTGGATAGCTATATTATAGTCCGCGTGCTTCAAATCACAGAGCTTTACCAGGCGTGGTGTCAAGTTGTTCAGGAATATACTGTATGGATTATTCATGGAAATTCTAACGGACGGCTAAAGTGAACTCGACCCTGCGGGATGAATTTGACAGGGGGAGAGGAGGTGGTCGAGGAGGGACAGGCCAAAGAGCCCCCCGCCCTAGACCCGGCGATAGAGGCACAGGTAAGACCGACATGTTGTTGATCCGTGCTAGGAAACCGCTGACCGGAACTCTTTCAGTTCCGGGTCAAACTATCGCAAATGTTAACTATTCTCAACACTTTATATTTATTTTCTGAAATTTTATGGCATGTATTTTTCTACAAAATTGAGTTTAACTGTGTGTGTATGAATGATGTCAGGTGTTCGGGTAATTAAACCCAGACTTGTTTATGCATGCTCATGGTTGAGACGAGTCATAATACTTCGGTCAGTCGCCTTTTAATCGGGTGTTTGTCAAAACGATTTGTAGATCATCAAAAAATGGTTTTAAGTCCATTTAAAACATGTAATTAAGGACTTATTGTTTGACAAAGGTCAATTTCCTGAATGAAGCACCATTTAAATACCAGTGTTCTTCAGCTGATTAAAAGGGGAAGATTAAAAACGATATCGGATGATTAATATAAATTGAAACTTTGTATAAGTTAAACATATTCATAACAGTTATAACTGTCTCTACAAAGACAAGTTAGTATGCACCCAGCATAAAATAGATTGTACACTTATTTACAAAACTGCCGGGGTAACGGCGAGAAGGGATGTGCATGCTATGTAATGATATATTGAATAAAACTATTTGTAATATTGTAACAATCGCCAAGATTTATGGACTTTTAATATTGATGTCGATGACTGGTGAGTTGTGAGGTTTGTCTTCCTCAACGACTAGTTAATATTGGCGAATTTAGTGAAGTGTGCTATTTTGAACGACTTAAAAGTTTGAGGAATTTTGTGCAGACTGTTTTACTGAACGACTTATAATAGTGATGACTGTAAAGATCTACATTTCCTGAACAACTCATAACATTGGTGACATACACACCTATTGGCAGGTCATCAAGCTATCGTATTTCGGCGTAGCATGACTATCAAAGATTATCTTTACTACACGACATACACCGACATATCTTGATGTGTGCATCGTGCGCGAGTTGAGAGGCACGACTGGAGAATTTTTACTATAGTATTTAATATTTGTATAAACGTTAATATTGTAGAAAGATATTATTAAAACTCAGCAGAGGTGACTTCTGACCTCTATCAATACCCTTACCGCGTAATCGCCATTGAGTAGAGATCGACTACTTTTGATGGTGTATTCATATAAATACAAACAGTACGTGCACGCGCTGTTAATTTAGCGATGTTTTGTGTATGACCGATTTTAGTTGATTTGAGTAAATAGAATCTAAACTATTGATAACTTGACCTGATATCGGACGTAACCCTATATCAGTTGTATTTGGCAACAGACACAAGATCCACCAATTCTATGCCAGTGATATTTGACAAGAGTATGGTCACAAAAGAGCCTGGAGATCGTAACGTCCAGGTTACCGCACACCACACAAGTCCACCTTTAACCCCGGCACCCTGGAGCCTCCAAGATGACACATCAGATGTATTCTCAGTGTCTCCAATAGGTCGATCAGGAGACGGAAACCTTGTAATCGATAGCCTGTCTGGATCTATAACCGACACGAAATTGTATATCTGTAACAATGTACCTTTACGTTAGCAAATTGTCTGTTAGTCAAAGGTACAGCATGTTCCTTAATTAAACACAGTGCTATTAACGTCCACCGACACGCTTAATCAGTGTAATAAATTGTTCACTTCATTGCCCGTTTTACATTATTAGGTTGTGACGTCGCAATCTACTCTAACCGATATTTATTGTTGTTAGTCAAGTTTTCTTTTGGGAACGTGACTTTGCTTACATGAATTGACCGAGATTTACATGATGCAAAATACGCTTACCCTTCCTGAACACTTGATCTTGTTCTGCTTGTACTTTTTTCAATCAATGGTCATTGTGTATATCATACGAATACAATCGAAACTTTTTATAAAAAAAAAAAAAAAAAAAACTTTGGCAAACTTAACCTTGTAAAGATATTAATCTTCCGGGTTTTTTCACCAGCGTTATACTTAACTATTTTAAATATGGAACGAAAAACTGCAAGACCTAAAATATACTGACTAAAAACAAAAGTTACAAAAGTTCTCTTACGAAGAAAGACTTCCGACGTTGTAATGACTATGCTGTGTGGTTTAATATTTCTAGTTAAACAAAAGTACAATAACGAGAACGAATCAGTATTCTTCGTTCTGCAGTGAACCGTGGAGGTAATTCATTACTTTCTAAGACTGATCGTATCCTTGAACACAATAACCACCATACCCTGCACTGTAGACAGCGCTATATCTCACTCATTGACACTTTTGCAATTAATTATGCAAATATGCCAATCGCAATTTAAACTTTTCTATTTTGTACACCCACTTTCGAGGAGTAAAGAATTATGGTGAAGATACACCCTACTGTAGACAGCACTATATTCGACTCATTGGCACTGCTGCGCCGTACAGATGCTATGAGTAGAAACACAAGCGTCTCCGTTCACTTCTCGAAAAGTCGGACATCGACATAAAAGCTACAACAGAAACAAAACAATTGGTGACCTTATGTAGACAGTAAAGAAACAATTAGGTGTTTTGTCTGAACTGGGCTGTATTCTTTTCCAATATTCATATTGCAAGACTACACTTCAACTAAGACTGTTTCTGATGACCGGTATATATAGTTCTAACGTTACTGTGATCAGTTTGTCTCGGTATATATTGTTCTAACATTACTGTGATCAGTTTGTCTCGGTGTATATAGTTCTAACGTTACTGTGATCAGTTTGTCTCGGTATATATTGTTCTAACATTACTGTGATCAGTTTGTCTCGGTATATATAGTTCTAACGTTACTGTGATCAGTTTGTCTCGGTATATATTTCTCTAACATTACTGTGATCAGTATGTCTCGGTATATATAGTTCTAACGTTACTGTGATCAGTTTGTCTCGGTATGTATAGTTCTAACGTTACTGTGATCAGTTTGTCTCGGTATGTATAGTTCTATCGTTACTGTGACCAGTTTGTCTCGGTATATATAGTTCTAACGTTACTGTGATCAGTTTGTCTCGGTATATATAGTTCTAACGTTACTGTGACCAGTTTGTCTCGGTATATATAGTTCTAACGTTACTGTGATCAGTTTGTCTCGGTATATATAGTTCTATCGTTACTGTGACCAGTTTGTCTCGGTATATATAGTTCTATCGTTACTGTGATCAGTTTGTCTCGGTGTAATTTCTCTCACATTACTGTGACCAGTTTGTCTCGGTATATATCGTTCTAACGTTACTGTGATCAGTTTGTCTCGGTATATATAGTTCTAACGTTACTGTGATCAGTTTGTCTCGGTATATATAGTTCTAACGTTACTGTGATCAGTTTGTCTCGGTATATATAGTTCTATCGTTACTGTGATTACTGTGATCAGTTTGTCTCGGTATATATAGTTCTAACGTTACTGTGATCAGTTTGTCTCGGTGTATATAGTTCTAACGTTACTGTGACCAGTTTGTCTCGGTATATATAGTTCTAACGTTACTGTGATCAGTTTGTCTCGGTATATATAGTTCTAACGTTAATGTGATCAGTTTGTCTCGGTATATATAGTTCTAACGTTACTGTGACCAGTTTGTCTCGGTATATATACTTCTAACGTTACTGTGACCAGTTTGTCTCGGTATATATAGTTCTAACGTTACTGTGATCAGTTTGTCTCGGTATATATAGTTCTAACGTTACTGTGACCAGTTTGTCTCGGTATATATAGTTCTAACGTTACTGTGACCAGTTTGTCTCGGTATATATAGTTCTAACGTTACTGTGATCAGTTTGTCTCGGTATATATAGTTCTAACGTTACTGTGATATATATATAGTTCTAACGTTAATGTGATCAGTTTGTCTCGGTATATATAGTTCTAACGTTACTGTGACCAGTTTGTCTCGGTATATATACTTCTAACGTTACTGTGACCAGTTTGTCTCGGTATATATAGTTCTAACGTTACTGTGATCAGTTTGTCTCGGTATATATAGTTCTAACGTTACTGTGACCAGTTTGTCTCGGTATATTTCTTTATTAAATGTGATATATTTCTCTTTCCTGATTTTTTTTTCATGCATGCTCTCTTAAATCGCCGGTTGTTCGCGAAGGTAACGAACGTGATGGGTTCTACCACTTGGCCCAGATCACAGAAGTTCTTAAAACTAGCACTTGTCGCTGTCTGACGTTCAAGCGTTTGATAAACCATGGTAAAGACTTGACAACTTAATGTTTAAAGCATTATAGTGAAGTGTTATACAAGTAGTTCCGTCTACAAATGTTAACATTTCAGTGACATGCCACTTGATAATGTTGTCCTTGATGAGTCCTTGTCATGTGATCTTCGTTCATTTGCAAAATGCAACAAAGACACATTTAACGAAGACAATGGTCTGATGATAATTAAACAAATAACAATTCCTCATCAAAAATGGTGCGACATTTTATTATTGCCAACACCTTCACATGGACCCAAATCCCGCAAGAATCACACGATAAACAATATTTCACTTCAGAACACCAATTTCTCATTCGTTCGCTCTAATAATCATAACAATGGATACTGTCAGCTCTGAAAAAATATACGCTGATGACGTCATAGACACTTCTGAATGACGTTATAAACAAGTCTAAACAGAACCACAAGGAGCTAGATCGTGTCTTCTAAAAACCAATGGGACTGAATGTATTATGTTCGTTTCGTGTTTGTGTTAAAGAATAGTACTTGTCTATGATTTGGAAGGAAATATTTCAGAAATAATGTCTGTTACTCATAAATATCAAATGGAATAGGAAATATTGTCAGGTGATGTAATCGCTTTAAGAATTGTGTGATGTCGTTTACAATAACTCTTGTATCCGTTTTTTAACATCAGTATTGTACAAAAGTGCCTTTATCTTACTTCTGTAAGCAGTATTGGTTTCCAATAACAACACATCCTCACTGTTGACTACTTTGTTATCTAGTTTACTCTTCAATGTAATTCGCTATCTAATATTGATTTTGTGTT